TTCCTGCTACAGGAGAGTAAGTGTCTCTTTTATAATTTTGTAGCTACCTTTTTTGTATATTGGAGCTTTTTAAAAGAGCTGGTTATTTTTTGATTTCTCTTTAAGAAGGGTTCTTGCACAAACCAAATAAAAAAAAAAAAAGACAGTGTTTCCCAAACCAAGGCATCTGCAATGATAATAAATCATTTCCTCCTGAAAAATTCCCAGGCCCTTGGTTCTTTTCCTCGGATTGTGCCTGTGATGTTTTGGTTAGGCAGAACTTGCATAGTTAGAGAAGCCCTTCGCACTGTGTCATCCTCTTGCTCTTGTTTGCACCCCGTTGCATCTCAGCAGAGGATGGGGCTTGACCCCCCTACCATAACTGGGAGCAGCAGAGTTGGCTCCCTTGCTGGAGCTGGAAATTCCCAATGGCTGATGGGTTTGCAGAACTGATTCTTGTCAATACGTGAAACAGACATTCTTGCCAAGTTAAACCATGTGGTTTTTTTGCACTTGCAAAGATCTTTTGACTTTTTCAGGAACTTGTTGCAGTCTCAGCAGACTTACAACTATAGCAGCTTAGCAACAACTTTTGTAAATTCTCTGGAGAAGTCAGCCCAGGTACAGGTTCCCATAGTCACAGCTGCTCATTTGAAAATTAACCACCAAATCCTGCAAATAATTTTTTTTTTCATTTATGGGAAAAGCGCTAGAAGCTGTGTATGGACTTTGGAAAGGCGCGTTTGAAAAACTCAGTCTTCAACAGACTACTTAAAGCATTGCAAGAAACAGGGATGTACAGAAATGTGTTTCCAAATGATCTTTTCACACAAAAAAAAAATTAATTTTTTTCCATAAAAACTTCCTCTGTTGAAGGAAGGAAATATTACAAGAAAATGTCAGTACCAAAAGGAAGGAGATTTGGGTGTGTTGAAAGTTCAAATAGTCTCTCATCTTTAACTGATACAACTGCAGAGGCTCCCTTGCTGTGGCCTGTGTGGATGCCCTCTTACTGCCAGTGATGGTGATCTCACACCAGTGTAAGTCAAGGGTGACTGTGGGTGGATTCATGGCACAAGAACAGTGCAAAACTAGCATGAACTCGGAACCAAATCCATGCTTGGTTGCCAAGTTAAGCATATGAGGAGTTTGTAGTCAGGTACTGTTTGCGTGTTCTCATTCCCCTGTGAGACAGCAGTGAATCACCTTCATGCAGATGATCCATTGCCTTATTGAGCTCAGATTGCACAAGAGACTTGACCACAGTCAGCACAGCCGGGTATCAAATACAGTTTTGTCAGGGCAAGGACTGTCGAAGTGGTGGGTGAAAGTTAGCTGCCAAAGTCTATAGTTGCAGTAAGTAAAATCAGCTCTTTTACTGAAGGTTCAAATATCCATAGAAATAAATAAAAATTAAAAAAAAAATGGCAAGATGAATTGGGAAGGCTTAGCTCTTCTGAGGAACCTGCACATCAGGGTATCGGAAGATTTTGGCTTAGCTCTTTGCAGATGTCACAGCCCTCGGACATTTTAATACCGCCTTGCCATAGTAATAAAACATAAACCACAGATACCCTTGCTTTATTCATTGTTGCAGAGAGGGAGCTCCGCAAAGTCTTTGAGCTCAATTGACCTTATTTTTCGGCTTGACAGGTATTTAGAGAAGACAATCCGCTCAGCCGTGGAGCAGCATCTCTTTGATGTTCATGGCTCAGGCGGCCAGAGTTCAGAGGACTCTGAATCGGGAACATCTTCAGCCTCTTCTAATGTGTCTGCCAGGCAGAGGAGGCGACAGCACAAAGAGCAGGAGGAAGCCCGGAGAAACAGAGACATGTACGAGCCTGATTTCTTTGTTTTGGAAAGTATATTTGATTAAGTGTACCCTAGTCATGTCCTCTTATCAAGGCAACGCTTAGTTCTGTGATGAAATGCGCTGGCCCTTGCCCGGAGTTGAAAGTGCAGAGCTCCATTGCATCAGTTAGAGCTGGGAAATGTAGAGTTTATTAGAGGTCGTGGCGTGGGGCAAAGCATGATAAGAATCCTTTTTTTTTTTACAAAGTATGGTAGAGTTCTTAATTACAGTATTTGGAATTGTTTAATTACAGTATTTGTTGCTTTAGTGGAAATCCCCAAGCAGTTGGCCCTATTGCCTGTAACTTTCTTTAATTAAAAACATTGGGTTTAGATGCTTTTCTGAATTCAGACTGTCTTAAAAACTGAGATCAAGTTCTCCTTTTGTATGTGGAGGCACAGCTTATATTTGGGTTTATTGAGGAACCCTGGGAGTTTACCTGAGAGTGGAAAATTCTTCTTTCTGATTAATAGGAATTTAGGAATTTTTATTCACCCTGTTACACAAAGTTTAAATATGATTTAACGGTGAACTTCATTATATGTTCTGTCAAAGAGTAAAAATAATACCTGTTTTTCCTTTCATACTCCTCTACTTGTGGCATATATTGTGTGGTACAGATGTGTTACTGCCACAGCCTTAACGCTTGCCCAAGGCATAGCTATCTTCAAGAAACTAACTGCAGACTTTGCAAGTCTGTGATCTAGTCAGTGCTTACGCATATGTCTGGCTTTAACACAGCACTAGTTCTTGTAAAGAATGTATACTTGACTTGGATTGCTAGGATTTCAAGTTGGATTCCGAAATAAACATCTAGTCTCTCGTTGTTTTTTCCTGAATTCCCCAAATCCTTTTGGATCTGCAGCTTCCTATACGAAGCTGCTTTTATGCAGGTGCATAACCATCAGTACCTTCTGTTAATATTGCAGTCATGGTATATCCTGAACTGTGTCAATGTTAACATTGTAAAAAAAAAATCCATAGTTACAAAATAAAAAGCCATTTCCATAGTGAGTGAGCATGTGCTGTGAAAATGGAGGGAGAAATTAGCACTTGCAAGGCACCAGAGTATCTGGCAGCAGCTCTGAAGTAGATTTTCTTGTTTAGTAGCCCCACTGACAGGCGTCTCAGGTAAGTAGGTCAGAGACTGGCTAGTGTACGTGTTTGGAAGCATATAGTACTGCAGGGCTTCTTTTCAACATTGCATTACAGAGCTGCCTTTAGACAAGGTTGACACAGTTGTTCAGGTTCGGTCCGTAAAGCTGGAGCCAAAGCTTTAAAGCACATCGGAAGTTTTGAATGCTGGCTAGGGTTCAAATTGTTTTCCCTGGTTCCCTTAGGTCAGGTTGCTGGAAGTCCTTTGGATGAGTTACCAAAATCGGCAATTCCTGTCGAAACTTCTTTCTGAAGTTGTTGTTTTGATTGTCAGTGACTTCATCTCCTTGCCTTGTGATGGATCACAAGAGGATTTGTAATGTCACAAGATGGGATTTCAACTAGGAAGAGTTTTTATCACAGAAATACATACATGAACTCCCAGGCTTTGCAGTCTACATGATGTACAGGCTGTGTATGTGTAATTGGTCTGCTCAGGGAGTTGTAAAAACTTCCACAAAGACAAATGTGTTATCTTAGAAGTTTAATCATAGATTTACAATGCCTCTTTGTATCTCTCTTCCACCAACAAAACCTAGAGACTTGTGATCTAGAAAATCACTGACATTTTCTGGTTTTGTTTTTGATCTGAATACTTTGTCATGTTGGCACTGTCTGGATACTAGACAGTAATTGGTTTCTTGTCACAGTAGCGCAAGTCTAGTGAAGTCCTCCTGCTGTTTGTGAAAGCAGGTTTTGGAGTCTCACAGCACTGTGTAAGGCAACGACACTTAAAACAGTTAGCAAACATTCCAGTTTCAATGTCAAGTGCAAGTAGCCTGCCTTTAGCCTCCGGCAGGGTGAAATGGTGAAGAATGAAATGCATTGTGTTTCTCCTGTTCCCATAATGTAGTGATGTCTTATGTATGTGCGTCCTCATTATTGCACAAAGTAGAGGGAAGACTACTACACAGGTTGTGAATGGAAAAGTGCATGCCGAAGGATCCAGCAGGCTAATTGTGCAGGGCAAGATAAGCCGTACCCCAGGCTGCTGGAAAACATGCACAAACCCTGCTAGCCCAGAGAGTCCAATGAGTGCATCGCGTGATGACTTCCCAACATAGCAGAACAGTCCTCTGTCTTAGCAGTTGTGTTGCCGTTGCAGAGATTCGTTCCCCTTTCTGTTTCGTGTAATTCCCAAATGGGAATCAAGTATTTGGCCAAGGCACCACGGTCCTGCTCTTGCATTTAAGAATATGAGTAAGAGGGCTGATTATGCGGTGTCATGCACCAAAGGAGATCCTTGGACCGCAGCTGTGAATCACTTTTCTAAATTAGAAGCACGTGTCTCAAAGGGAAACAATGCTGCGTATTCTCTAGAAAAGTACCACAGACAGCCAGGAACTAGTCCAGTTTCCATGTGAAGTCAATGGGATTCTCTGCGTTGGCTTTAGTGGGAAGTGAATCAAGTCTCAAACGTTGATCCTCACAGCTTTCTCACCCGAGGTGTATACACCTGGCTTTCACTCCTCAGCGGGATCTGGCATTGCACAGTGTGTGTTGTTTGCTGTAGGAAGAACCAGAGATACTGGTTTCGTAGGGCGTAGAAGATGTTGCCGGAACTGCAGCAGTCAGCATGATGCATTTCTCTATTGCTACCATAAATGTAGCGGGAGTGTGTTTTAAACAACCTGTTGTTGTAATGTCCCTTTTCTTTGTAGGGAAGTTGTCAACAAAGAAAACATTCCCTCTGGATTCAGCAATCTTGAAGACTGTATTCTAGCTGCTCAAGAAGTAGAAAAATTACAAGACAACAGCTCCGGATATCTTAGTGAAAGGAATAAACCAAAACGGCAGAAATCCAGCACCAAGCTTTCCGAGCTTAATGACAACCAGGACAGTCCTGTGGTAAGCTGGCATGCTGTACTATTTGATACCTAGTACTAGGGTGGGAAAAAGTCTTTTTTATTTCAGTGCACATCTGGTTCCCCTGGGTAGCCATTTTTGCCTACAGTACAAGCATAAGTGTCTGTTTTGGACTATGGGGAACACCGAATCCCATACTGGTAACCTTTGTGATGAGGCAACTGAGAGGCTATATTTCTGCTATGATCCTCTTACTCCATTCATAGTGATTTTCTCTTTCCACAACTTTTTGCTTTTTTCTTCTGAATTCAACAAAGCATTTTGAAAAGAGAAAATAGAAGTAAGTCTTTTTCCTAGTCTTTCAAAAGTCTTCTAAGGACATCGGAACCTCAGATGTAGGTTCACGTGTTTAGGTCAAGTTTATTTTTATATTCCTGCAAAGTTCTTGATAATGAGATGACAAAGGTGTTTTATGGCTTTTCTCTAAAGTCTGTGTGTTACTGTGGTGTTTGCAATTTGCAGAACACTTTGGAGTGTGTTGGTCCAAAAGATGATTCCTGTAGTTGCCTTTTACTGAGGAGGTAAATGAAACCTATATAACGTCCTAAAAATCTGGAATACTGTAGAATTTGCCCAGCGTATTCTTGTGTGACTTTCACAGTAGAAGACAGTTTGCCAACTTTTACAAGCTGTGGAATAAAACTGTTGCACCCTCCTTCCCTCTTAACGAGACCAAACATTGATTATAGTGTGAGCAGTTGTAAAACTGTACTGTGCTTCAATGCAGAGTCTGCTTACGGTGGCAGAAGTGCTATGTGTCCCGGTGCCTGGCACCAGGCATGAGTTACCCGGTTACTAGTAACAGTGAAAGCTGTCTGAAAAGACTGTCCTTCCGAGCTATAGGGCATTTCCTTCAGTTGTACTTGTTTAAGTTTTAGAGCCTGCTGTGAGTGAGTTCCTTCTTAATGTGACATTGCGTTGGGACTCGTTTTATTTAGGTCACCAAATTGCAGTGACCTGATGCTCTTACCCTGCACAAAGATTCTAGAGAGGCGCAGATTTGGCTTCTCTTTGTGATAAAAAGAAGGCAGGATGCCAAAAGTTGTAGGCCGTGATTAGGTTTAGTGCTCAATATCAGTAACCTGCTCATGTGATACTTCATGAAAGAGCACAGTGATATAGACACATTCTCACTTGGCATGGTAGCAATGGGCTTTAAGATAGGCAAAGGTCAAGTGCTTACACTTTTTTCTGCACCTCTTCTCCGTACCTGTGGAGTGTAAAGCAGTTTAAATGTAAATGAGAATTTGACTCAGGATTTGGGAAATGAAAGACTGAGAAAGTGTCCACTTTTGCTGTGGACCTGAAAAACATTCATGAAGTCTTAAAACATGCCCAGAAGAAATGTCCTCAAACTTACCTGTGTCCACTGGACTTTGTCCTGCCCCTCATTTTTGGATCTCTTAAGGGGCAAAGGCTAAAAGAAACAAAAAAGGACTAACCTTACACAAAAAGTGCTTTGTAGATGACCATCAGTGTGGTTCTTGCTTGCTTTGCTAGAGGAAGTGTCGCAGTGGGATTGCCAACTGGGAGCATCGTTATGAAACAGCTTGCAGAGAGCACAGTGCTACTCTTTTTGGAAGAGCAAAGGCTGCTTTTTAAGTTTTCATGAGTGCGCTTATTTCATACTTGCATTTCAGAGACTGCCAGCAGGATGTGTGATGGTTTAGCTTTCTTTTGGCTGCATCTTTACGGTTCAAATAATAACCCAAATTAGACTGCCTACTTGGAGTATCAAAGGACATAACCTGCACTTTAGGATTTACTAATAGGGCTTCATCATGTAAACAAGTTTGTGATGTTGTATCTTCTTACCCGCCATTTTCTGAGCCTTCCTTGTTTTTAAAGCCTGAAAGAGTATTTAGGACAGTGTGTGGAAGCTTTCCTCTTAGCTGTCTGATTGCATCTGACTCAAAAGCGTAAGTCAGGAGTGGAAAAACTGTCAGTTCCGCTTACTCTCCCAAGCAAACCAAGCACGAAGCATTAAAAGCCTATAACTGCATTTCAGAGACATGGTAGCCAGGTACCAGTAGGACTTGAAGAATCACATTAAGCAAGGCTGGAATAACTGAGCTGTGTCGCCTTATGGGGCTGGAGGTGTAGCAAGGTGAGAGAGGGCTGTGACTGTCCCAAGCGCTGGCACAGGAACACTCCACTCTACTGACTGACTTCCTCCTATTTAAGAGGGACTTGCCCCAAAAACAGGGTAGAAAACCTCCTGGACATGTGCTCAAAGTGGCAATGTAGCTTGTCGTTATCTCAAGCTCTTAGATGACAACGGTGTTAATATTCCTAATGATAGCAAGTTGTCTTAACCATTTGAATTTCTTGCCCTGCATTCGTATCAGCACAACTTAACATTACCTCTGTGCATATGGCAGTCTCTTTGCAGTCTTCTTCTGCCCCTTTAAGAAGAAACTAGGGAAGGGTTTGGCTGAGAAGGGGAATATTCTCAAAGGTGAGCATAAGTAGTCCTGTTGGGAAGATGCTGTGGATTTTGGTACCTGCTCTTACAGGATTTGTACACACTACAGAATTGTTCCCAAGCTTGGCCTGTCTTGTCAGCCTGTAAAATAGGAACTGGAGGTATACGATGCAGCGTTATTCTGTTAGGCATTTTGAGGTCATGTGATGAGACAGATGAAGCAGTGAGCAGTTGGGGTTTTTTTGCGGGTTATGGACAATAAAGCGTGGGTTTTGTTTTGTTATGAATGTGCAGCAGGCAGTGGTCTGATTGTTGTTGTGTTTCTAGAAGTTCGGTTGGATATTTCTCTATTTGATCTGTTTAATGGCCAGCAGCTTGAATATTTTTCTCTTGTGTATCTTACTGCTTTAACATTTACTGTGTTACAGAGTATGGAAAGCTTTAGCTCATCCAGGCCTATAGACAGAACAGGACCTGATGACATGGAAATTTTATCTGAAGAAAGGTGATATTTTTATTTTTTTTTAATATATGTATGTTTTATTTTCCCTGTGGTTGTAGTACAGCCTAAGAGATCTTCCACTGCAGACTATGAGGGTGACATTTAGTTACGCTGCAGAATATTGTTACCCACCATGTTAGCTTCAAAGCAGAACTGCATGGAGGCACTGCATATGTTGTGTGGGCTCTGCCCAGCACCATACGCCAGGAAGACTCTTCTCCCAGCCTGTTAGGAACGGCACTGAAGATGCTGATGGTGCAGACTTGAAAAGAAGTCAGCTGTGAAGCACCTGAACCGGCACGCCACTCTCCACATAGGGGACTGCAGAGCCTGTCTCACCTGGCCTCTGGGTTGGGAATCCAGCCCTATTCTTTGTGCTTCGCTCTACTGCGAGAGCTGCACAGCCCCACTGTGCTTGCCTGAGATGGCCATTTCTCTTCACGGTTATGTTTGGTGGGACAGTTGTATTGGTTTGGATGAAGGGCACAGGAATTACATTTTTCACAAATAGCTCCTGAGAGGAAGCAAAATGAATAGTTCAGCAGCATGAAGTGCTGCAGCCCAGAGTGTCCCTTCACTTATGGAATGTATTAGCAAGTGTGCAGCAGTAGCAAGAATCTAAAAACCTATGTGTGCAGAAGTCCTGCTTGTTTTTGTTACAAGTCTGGCTTTGTATTTGTAATATATTGGTTTGTTTTTGTTTTTTTGTAGCAAAGAAAGTGAAAACGATGAGGTTTTTTTCAAGCACTCTCAGGTTGGTATTTTTTGGTTTTTGTTTTTCAGTTTTGTGGGCTCTAAATGGGCTTTTTATTGAGTAGAAACAAGTAGCTAGGCATATAGTTCTGGGAAATTTTGTTTCTCCAGAGAAATGGAGTTAGCATTTGCTTTTGCTTTCCCTCCCCTCCCCTCTGCTTTTTATTTACATAATTTAGGGAGCCTCTCAACCACTGAAGAGTCTGAAAGCATCTGCTTCAGTCCCTTCAGTCCTTCCTTGCCAAAAAGGGAAGCTTCACTGGAGTAAGCACTTTGGTTTAAGTGATGCCAAGTTCCCTTATTAATCATTGCAAACAGGGTGTGTGAGTGGTTATCTCCCAGGGGAGTAAGATTAGCTTGTCTCTTGATTTCTCTAAAATCATTTTGGTCTTTTATTTATGATTTCCCAATGCAGCCTGTTGCTTTTGAACATAGGTGTCTGTGATCATTTGTCTTAGAAGATCGTCTCCTGCTTCTCTCTGAGGGTTGGTGGTTGGGATGGATGTCTGGAGGGGAGACGTGTCTTTGATGGCAACAGCTTTTTTCCTGACTTTCTGTTTCTGCTCAACACCCACCTCCTGCATTCACTTTATGTTATTTTTCATCGAACTGTTCAGCAAAGCAAAGATTGGGGTTGGGTTAGGTGAACACCTTTACAATCACTGGTTCTTTTGGGTTTGCTTGAAATACCTTTAGACAGCAAATCATTTAAAATACTAGGGAGAGTTATCTGAGGCACCTCTCCCTCAGTTGTGCACCCATTTTAGAGGAGCATAGTAAAGCAGCTGTGGACAGTGTCTGGTTTCTCTGGCTGTTTGGAGCTGAGGGCTGACAGTATTTTTTTAAACTACCCTCCTCTTGTGCTTTTTTAAAAATTAAAAGCCACTATGCATTTATTGCCTTTGAAAGACTTCGTTTTCAGTAGGTATTATTTCCATCTAGCAGGAAGGGTAGAAGAGTTTATTTGCTAACAGCTGGGCTCTGACCAACTGTGTTGTAGCTGGAGAAGTTCATGGGACACTGAAACATGTAACCTCTGCAAGGGGTGCTCGGTGCTGCCTTTGATCACTGCTCTGACTTGGCGTAGATGGATTTCCTACATTGCTCCCAGAGGGTCAGTCATCCCCAGTGGTTCTGCACTTCCTCATGAGCTGTTGCATTTTCCAGAGCATGAGTTTTGCAATACAGTGTTCCTCACGTACCTGCTTGCACGTGGAGAAGGTGCTGTCACTGCCATGCCACACAATACTCCCATTAAGCTTTTAAATTAATCTGGGAGAGGTATGTTTGAATATGAAATCGTAATCTTAAAATAAACTTCTCCTTAGGAAGAGTTTTAAAATTTAGAATTTTAATGGCAGGAGAAGACATAGCCTTAACCCAGAGATTGTATTATATAGGAATTACAAGGTCGAGAAAATGTTACATTCCTGCAGGGTAGTTTTACATTCCTTGTCCCTTATAAGCCTTTTGCTTAGGGCAGCTTAAAGACATACCTTCCATAACAAACAACTCATTCAGGATGAGGAAGGGACAGGAACTTTCTTACTCTTAGCTCTTTCTCACCCTGTTTCCAGTCTGAAGATATTAGGAAATGTATTTGGAATTTTCCATAGCTACTGGTTGTGCAGAGTTCGGTCTCCATGAGGGAGTAAAAATACCTTGAAACACATATCCTGAATGAACTTTAAGTGCTTTTGTAGCCTTCATAATCTGCCTTTGGAAGTAGCTAAGCTCGAGAATGTAGACTGTGATTTGAAAAAAACAGGTTTCTGGTACCCAGGTTGTGATAAGCGAAGGGAGTTTAAGATCCACACCGACATGGCAACAAGTGTAGAGGGGGATTGGCGTGACTCAGGAGTAAGGCAGCAGAATGGCTGTGTTCTTGCATCAGATTATATCACCAAGAGGTGCTTAAGGATGCTTCCTGCTTGCAGTCGTAATGGATGGTCAGATGTAGGGGAAGCAAGCCTTTTAAATGAAATTGATTTGAATCCACATGTAACCGAATGGAGTACAACCTTCTGATCAGAATTCAAAGATCTTTCTGTTGCTGTTTATTTCTAGCTGCCTGAGCTACTCTTTATGCTGAATCTCCGTTGGAGCGGGGAGAATGAAAGCAGCAGACTTATCCCCAAGTTACTTAGATCTGTAGTTACTGGTGCCTGCAAAGCATGGCTGCAGAAGCAGCTTCTACAAAGCAGAACTCGAGTGCCTAGTTGGAAGATAATTTTTTTGTGGTCATTTATGTAATATCCGCAGTGCACTGTGAGTGCCAACTGCTACTGGGATCGACAACTTGCTGCCCTTTTGGTTTGTAAGAAATTGTGGCCTATCCGTAGCTAAAGCACAGTAGTTCTCACTTCCTTGTTTTTCATCCTGGAGGTTGGCAACTGGTGGCATCAGGAAATCAAATAGGAAAACAAGTGATGGGAATACTGAATTATCTACCACTCTACAGGTTTGGAACGTTAATGCAAAGAAGGTTAAACATCTGCTTTCTGGAGTCTCCTGGGTTTGTACCACCGTTGTTCTTCAGAACACCTAATGATTTATTCATTGTATTAGGGGCTACATCAGTGAGCAAGGAAAGGAGAGTAACTGGCTGCAGGCACAGCACAGGCCTGTTTTTAAACAGCTTTAAAATATTTCCAACAACTGGGGTGACTTTAGAAGGAAGAAGACATTGATACGATCTTTCTAATATATCTGTAATGGAGATGTTTACCCATCTGGGAAGTGCTGTTATATCTGCTACAGATATCTTTTAAGATATCTTAATAAGTCAAGAGACTGTACGCTCTTCATAGAAAGACATTTAATTCTGGAATTAGTATCAGTAGTGGTGGCGAGATGGTATTGTCAGGTTTCTCCCTTTGAAATTGTTAAAATCTAGATAAGTTCTGTTCTTTACACTTCTTGATATTATTAAAAATAGCACCTATTTTGAAACGTACCACTCTATATCATTCAGCCTTAAAATACTCTGCTGGCAATTTAAATGCAGTTTATCGACTGGTACAATTTTTTCTTTAGTAAATGTAAAAGACTGCCTGTTTCTGGCCACTAACCAGTCTTTCTGTTTGTAATATGCATTGACTATTTAGATTCTGGCAAGAAATTTGTTACTGGACCTTAAAGAAATATTTAAGTTCTCCCAACCTGGAAGCAGCTTAAAAGATATTGAATGGTGAATTAGCATTTTTCCATGTACAGCTCTCACAATAAACACGTTTGTAATCAGATTTAGTGTCAAGCTGTGCGAGTTATTAGTGCTTGGCAAACTGTCGTCTAGTGTTTCCTTTTGTTATAATGTTTCAAAAAGGCGATTTATTGAAATGAAAAGGAAATACAAACCTTATGCAAATACAATGCAGAACACTCCTTACAAATACCAGGGTGTTCATCACACAGGTTTTTAGAACCGTAGAACAGCCCGGGTTGGAAGGGATCTCGAAAGATCACCTAGTCCAACCTTTCATGGGACAGGGAGTCTAGATGAGATTGTCTAGCACCCTGTTCAGTTGCAGGGATTGATGGGATTGAATCCAGAGAAAAACATTTCTTCATATGATTTGTCTACTGGGCAGGTTTTTTCCTTCTCTACACGGAGCTTACTTGTTTTTCTCTGCTCAAAGGGAGAAAAAAAACCCAAACACATCATTAGCTTTACATGGATTAAAAAAATCAAATGTGCCTTAGTGGCATGTGCTAAGGATATTGATTTAGTGCAGTTTGGCCATGCTTCTGGATTCACAAGTAAAATACATCCAAATATACCGGTTATTTTCTTAAGGCCCATTTACTTCACCCACCAGCATATGCAGATTGCTAACTAGATTATCAAAATACCTGCGGGGGGGAGGGGGAAGGGGGGAATCCGCCTCTCTACCTGCTAGAGAGAATCGTGTCTAAACTGTTCTTACCAAGACCAAATAGTTTATGTAGTAATGTAATGCTCTTTGAATAGCTCTGCGCTTGTTGGTAGGTTTATACATATCACACTATATGTTTATGTACGTGCTTTACACTTCCTTTTCCCTACTGCCCTCTGTGAGGCATTGCAGCTAATTTATTTTAGAATGACAAAACTGCTCATGTCATCAAGCACTATTACAGACACGCGCACTGTGTATCTGGGTTGTGGGAACGGCAGTGATTTCTGCATAAATGCACACGACGTGTGGTATGTGCAGGGGTGAACAGTGGTGAGACAAACAGCGGTTGCTTCTAGGTAGTGCTAAATGATGAATCATTTACTTGACAGCATTCTGCCTCTTTTTTTTTTTTTTTTTTTTTTTTTTTTTCCCTAAGTCATTGGATGCCTGTGTGAATTTTTTGGCTTTTTCCCAGAGTCCACACTGCTTCCAGCTGAGATGCCAAAACCCACTGCCGTTTGGATTTGCGCAACACTGCTTTAATACCCAGAGCTCCTCCATAAATAGTTCTGCTCTCCCCACGCCCAGCTAGAAAACAACCACAGGAAATCGGGGAATGTGCAGCCAGCGCAGCTTAGCTGGCACTAATTGATCTGAGCCAGCACAGCCTGCATGAGAGCATTCATGTACGTAGCCTGCACTGCTTGCTGTCTGCGGCTGCTACCTCAGGAGCTCCGGTGCCTGCTTTTTAGAAGACACCATATTGCTACAGCCTTACAACGGCAGCGGCGTTCTTGTTGTTGCTCTGAGGAGTTGTGCTCCTGTAGGAAGTGTATGCAGCCGCCCCCTCTCTCTTCCTTTCTCCCTGCCTTCCTTCCTCCCTCCCTTTTCATCCCCATCCATTACTGGAGGCTTTTTCAGCTGCATGCAGTTGTCAGGGCAGGCAGTCTCGGGAACTTGCAGTGGCTTTCTAAAGAAGGAAAAATGCAAGGAAGGCAGATGGACAGATGTTTTTACCGGTGTGAGTGAGCAATTAGTACGTAGGGGTCACCAAGCAGGGGATTTGGATTTGGAGCTGGAAATGTCAGGGTCTGTTTGTTTGGATCTTTGTAGCTAAAGGCGTGAGCTTACTGCTGCTGTGACTGCAGGGTGTTTTTTCTCCTCCTCTGCCTCCTGAAACATGTTTTTTTTTTCTTTCTCTCTCATTTCTGTGGGTGTATGGGAATATAGCTGACTTCAGGTATGAAGATTCAAGAGCATCCAAGCATTCCTGAAAACAAGCTGCAAAGAAATCAAGATGCTGATGATCAGGAAAACAGCTTTGTGTCAGAAGTGCCTCGGCTGGATTTGACAGCGCTATGTGATGACAACAACTGGGAAGGTAGGATTGCGTGATGGCGGGTTGTATGAGTGAAAGGAGAGAGAGGGAAATCTGAGTGGGCTGGGTATTATCTTTGTGTGATCATGTTCCCTTGCCAAAAGCAACAGGAAAGCAATTTTGCCCTGAATATGGAACCTAAAGTTTGGAGAAGCTGGATAGGTAACAATTCTAATTGTCACTTAGAGGAAGAAATTAATTGTTTTATTCTTGAAGTTACTTTCATGTGCTGTTTAGTAGTGTTAAGTCCCTGAGTGTTTAAGGATAACTTATTTCTTGGTGGCTGGTCACTCGAGTATTAAGCTAGGCTGCCCCACACTTCAAAGAAACTGGGTATTTCACAGTCTAAAAGGAGCTTCCTTCTTTCTCCCTTTTCTTCCACTTCGGTCACTGTTTGGAAATGAATGATTTGGATCTGAAAAGCACAGCTGGAAAAAAGGCTGTCTATCTGCTGTTCTGTCTTTTGATGGCTCTTACAAAAAACTTCCTTTTTTTATGTATGCTGTGAAAAAATTATGATCACCAGCTCAAACAGCAGTGTTAAATTACATGTGGTTTAAATTATTTTAGTACTGTTTCTTAACTCTCATCTCTAAAGTGCATGCTTGGCTGGCTATTTGCGCTGACTAACTTGAGAGGGAAATCTGGAGGAACTCTGTGGGTGCCACGAACCTCAGTTTCACTGGAAATTGATGAATTGAAGGTGTCCAGCACCTCTGAGATCAAGCCCTTCTCCAGTTACTGAATATGTGTGTATAAGCAAGAATTCTTCTGTTAGGCTGTGCTTTAGGAGTGAAAGACGAGCTTTGACAGGGAAGAAACAGGATAATGTGACTATGGTATTTTAATAAAGCAAGAGAGGAAAAAAAATCTAAAAAAAAAAATCTCTGAGGAACACTGAGAAATTAAGTTCTCTGCTCCTGCCTCAACAGCGTACGTGACCTAGTATATTTTGCCTTTCCCTCTAGGAGGGGAGTAGTTATGACACTTTAAGTAAAGAAAACCCATAGCCATGGCTGCCTTTGATTCAGCCAGGCAACTAGTCACCATGGACGGGAGGGAATTTCTCCACTTGCTTGGTAGGCGGGGATTCCCTGGGTGGTATCACCACGCGTGCAGCATGGCTGATCAAAGCACCATGGAAGGGCTCCCAGGAGGCCTTGGCCGCCTTACGTGTTTGCTGAGATGCTAATTAGCACTGGCCCGCAGGGTCTCGAGCCAGGGTGAGCACGGCTGTGTTCTCAGAGGCGATGTGTGGCTTCAGCCGTCATGTGAACCTTTGGAAATAATGACTCTTTTTTTTTTTTTCTTCCTGGGTTACTAATGGGAGTCATATGAATGCATGAAGAGGAGAACACACTCTTTTCTGTCTGCCAGAGGCTTTCCCGTTGTATGAAAAAGTTGCACCTTTGGTACAAATCCTTCTTCATAGGCAGGCTCTTATGTTTGTATTCTAGCTTTCTTGCCCTGCAAATATGAAACAGGACTATGAGCACGTGTGACCGTGCTTGAAGAGTGATTCTTTCGGATTCTTCCTTCCTCCGTTCTGTTCACGTGTTTCACAAGAGGAGGAGGTGGGCAGCTGCAAAAGAATCAGCTGTCCGGGGCGAGAGAGATGTCATCTAAAATACTTGCCTTCTAGAATCACCATTTTGTTGGCGCAGATGAAAGAGCAGCAAAATGGTGCCTTCTGTGTCTCAGCAAGGAAAGACTGAGTCTTTTCTAGCTGTGGATGTGAAATCAAGCTGGCAGCAGCCAGGAAGGGGAAGATGTTAATGTCAACTCTGACTGCTTCTGCAGTCTGTCGTTGAGACTGGCTGTGCAAGGCAGGGTTGTACCACTCAGCCACAGCTCTAGCACAGCCAGGGCGTCCTCCCTTCCCCTGCCAGCATGTGTCAAACCTTCACACGGCTCTTCAGCATCGGTGCTGCAACTCTGGTTGCATCCCCAGTGAAAAGAGAAAGGACTGTGTCTCCAAATGCAGTAACACTGGGTTATTTATTGCTTTGCTCTAGCAAATTCGGTAGGTCCATTTCTCAGAAAATTACCAATTCCTCCAGGACATAGTTGAGCTGACTTTTGGGGGCAGGGTCCCCTGTATCATACTGCAGAAGATACAGAGCATCTAGGGGCCAGGGCAGCCGCTCGCCCAGTTACAAGTGGCTTGTGAGAACAATTACATGTTGAGGGGTTGCCTTCAGCTGTAGCTGTCACTGCCTCCAGGTAAATGTTAGGAAAGGGCCTTGAAGAATGGGCACAAAATTATGCCAGACGACTTTGTCCGTTGACTAGCTTTTATTTGTCACTCAGGCAGACTCTCCAGCATGTTAAGACCAGAGCTGCCTTAAAAATCCTCATTTGAAGGCATGGAACTGTGAAAACTGCTGCTAGGTGAGCTGACAGGGCCCCCTGCCTTTTATGTTATGCTAGAAGTAATTTTTACCGGATTATTTTTTTTTTTCAAGGTTCACTGCATAGTCAGATCTGTACACAAGAGGAAAAATTTGCTGTACTCCTCCAGGCTGTGATGTTCCCTTTACCTAAAGCTGAGCAGAGAGAGGACAGAGACACTTGCTTCCCACTTCCTCCAGTGCACGGGCTCACACTCTGGCATGTGCCTGCTTTCTGCCTCCGCCTTGCCTGCTACCTATAGGGGCATATGTCTAGTAATCATCAGGCTATTGGTGTAGTATGGAGGGTGTGAGCAGTGCCCCAGCCAAATTCAGGTGCTGAACACTTAGCCTAGGCGCATTTCCCATGGTCCGAGAGAAGTACTTTACTCGTGTGCATTTGGCGGATGCAAATCAAATACTTTTGTTCTTCAGGCTGTGTGTGCACCAAGCTGTCTCTGTGAACTGGGGTGTCTGCCTGCCAGGCTTGCCGGCTAAGCCGGTCAGTCGGTGCCAGCTGAGACGACTTGCGAGCAAGCGTTTTCAGAGCTACTTTCATAGCAAAGGTTTTTAATTGTTGTGGATTACGTTTGAATCGGGTGCTGTGAGCGAGGAGGACAGAGTGTTCTCTCACAGCCCAGCACTATTGTGCAGATTTCTTACCAAATGTTTCTAATTCAAGCCCAGAACTCGCTATCCTGCCCTCAAGGAAAATCTGGAAGTATGTTGCTCTTCATAACAGGGGCTGGCCCTGTCAGCAGCTTGGAGCTGAACAGGCATTTCAGTAAATCGATACGATGCGTGTGATTGCTGCCTACATCGCCTGATTACTGACGTTTTAAAAAAAGTTCTGTAGATGAGATTTCAAGCAGAGTTTGCAGTAACAAGCACTTATGAAACAATCAGCGGACGTTTTTCTGCAAACTTTCAAGCTTAAAAAAAAAAAAAAAGAATAGAAGCAGAATTTTTAAACGCAATTTGAGTTTTCAGTGTTGAGAACTCAAGTACTGCAGCACTGAAACCCTGAGGGTGAAGCTGGTCTACAAACAGTTTCGACATTGACTTTATTGATACTTTCCCATGAAAAAAAGGACAGAGTAATGCGAAAAAAATCCAAAGAGTATAACAACAGGGAAGCTGGATTTAGAGTTCCTTTTTTCAACAGTGTGGACTTAGATACATCAGTGTATTTGTGTGTAACACTCTTTAGCGTAAGAAATCCAAAGGTGATGAAACATTGCATTTTTATTACTATGCATAGAAAAGAATAATCACATTGTTTACTGATTTTATACAATCAGTATTTTAAATATGTGTTTTTCATTGTTTATTATGATGTTATATTATAAACAAAATACAAAGTTGGCTTGCTAGCTGACAGATGTGTCATCTCACTAACTGAAAAGGTGTGGAAGCACTTTATTTGGGCCATTCTTTTTGATCTACGTAGGAAGAATACCTCCTGATGTATTCAAACAAGATGTTTTCAGTTATTTATAAGATGAGTAAAATAGGTTGTTACTGAGGTAGTGAATGTTTTATTCACTTCATTATGAGAGGTCTTTCTGGGGTCTTTCAAGTGGGATTTAATACTAGGACCTCAGGTGTTTAATTAGTTTAGGCTTTTTAATCCCTCTGGACCTCCTTCAGTTTACAGCAGCTAAGATTTGGCCTTCTTTGTTTGTCAGATGGGTGTGTGTAGAAGCAGTGTTAGCAACATATATCAGCTGTGTGGCTGCAGGGAGGGAAACGGATGCCTGAGGCATTTTGCCGGCCGCATCTCAGGTAGGATGTGTGTGTGGGTACCCCTCTGTTGGCCCTGCAGCCCCCAGTAATTCAGTGGCAAATGTACAGTGTAATCATAAAAAAAGTCAGCTTTTGTCAGCAAGAGGGCTTGGAGCTCACCAATAATACACCAATTTGATGCGCTGAATCTTTCTTCCTTCTCGCGTGACACAGGTTTATTAATATCTCCAGCCCTCTATGCAGCAGGTTGGCAGAGAGGTGGTGTTGCCACAGGCGTATGTGTGCCTACAGAGTTCTGCAGAGCAACACCTGGCAGATGGCTGACAGCTTTGTTGAAAGATTAGCTGGTTGTGGGAAGTTGAGAGGGAGTGTAGCACTTCTGAAGGACTGCAGGCTCAATACCAGCGTATTTCACTTCTTCTGCGCCAACTTGGAAAAGACATACCTAAAAGAAATGCGTTGAGAGTCTGACCATAAATAGAAAACTTTTTCACCCTTTCTCTGCACTGGTACAGCCATGGTGGTTGAATGTTCCCAAATATTATTTTTCTTATGAAATGTTGTGATTATGGAAAATGGGGGGAAAAGTAGTACATAGAAAGAATGTGGAGATGAGTAGAAAGCTGAGAGTTTTCTCTGAGCAAGAGAGATCTGTTCAAGACAGAAGATGAAGAAGGGTAACTGCTCTGTCAAGTTAATGGCAAAGGAAAGGTAAAGCAATTACATTCTTTGCTGAGATTTTATTCTTCAATTAGCAGAAGGGCAAAAGGGTGACAACATTAATCCTGATAGCAGATACTTCAAACCTGAACCATTAAGTACAGGAATATAGCAGCCGTCAGAAAAGGCTCAACACTTTGATAGTGATCTTGGATAAATGAATAACAAAAGGTATTATGTATTTTGTTAAAAATGAATTGATTGATTGTGCAGTGTCAGAAAAAGTGGCAGCTGACCTTTATGGGGTTCCTGTATATTTGTGCAATCTAGCAATTCCAGTGCTTCCAGCTGAAGTGCCTGGCACCTGGCCAGTACGCGAGAGAAGTCAGTCAGACTATAGCTCTGGTCCACTTGATGATCTGGTGTAGATATGAATCCATAATCCTATATACCTAAATATGTTCCTTAATTAATTGCTGTGTTATTTTCTAGGGGTTAGCCATTTTGTGTCCAGATGAGATTTTTTTGCTTCTAAATACTTACAGTCAGCAAGGGAAACAAGTTACCCATAGAGTCAGGCCTTCCAGGAGCAAGGGTTAAAACCAGCTGATTTTCTACAGCGGCCATTTCTTATGTCAAGTCTCAAATTTGATTTTTCTTTTAAGGGCTCTTCTCCTTCTCCTTTTTAACACTTTCTCCTTTGGAATGTGAATTTCTATTTTGGGGTAGTATTTTGAAATCAACAAAATAGAAAGTACCCATACCTCGAACTCGGCTAGCTTGCATGAACTGCTTTGCTGTCTGTCGGGGTTTGACCAGAGGCTCTTTGAGCTATCGCAATTCCCTGAATGTCGCCTGCTATCTGGTATATAAATCCACCTTGGGACAAAGTCACGTGCGTCATGCATGATTAATAATGGCTTTGATAGCTGGTGTGGTAGGAGCTTAATTTGGTTACTGCTAAATATGCTGTTGATTTCTTCTAAGTTTATTCCATCTATGTAAATCTGGTGGAGGTGTGATTTAACAATTTCCAAGAGCAAATTCTGTTTGGAGTGAGAGAGTATTCCAAAAATTGGAAGTGAGAGTTGTCTGGAAGAATCACATTC